TCCATTTCGTTAGGTGCCAAGAGGTTCACAGCTGCTTTTCCATTTCTATCCATGGGAAGATAAAGACATTAACATAAAATTCAAAATAATTCCGAAACTTAATTTCAAAAACTTATACAAGGAAACGTTCCAGGAAGATTGAAGAAAACACGCTACAAATGTGAACTGCATATGATAAATTTATACTTACGTCCTAAATGTGAACGGTTCTTCAAGATTTGGAGCAGATTTTATAGCGGAGTGAACAGCAGCAATGACGTGTTTGCTGGTGTCAAAGTTGCTGAACTCTGCCATCCTCTGAAGTAGAGTCTCTGAAGGCTTTGTTTCCATCAACAGAAATACTGCTGCTGTGCGGATTTCATAAGCTTCTCCAAGGTTTTCATACAGTTTAAGTAAAATTGGACTGGCCACTTCGGGATGCATTTTTGTCAGTTTCATCAAAGCACAAACCATTAGAAGTCGCTGGAATTTGGACACACCAATTCGACCTTCCAGATAAGGTTCCAAATACTGGAGAATATTCGGATGAGCTATATTTCCAAGTGCAAGAATATGCAGCTGAATCTTTGGACTGTTGCCCTCTGTTATAGCCTTGTGGAGTTCGTGACCCAAATACGGAATGTATTTTTCTGTCAACGCAGTGAAATGTTTTGGTACCATGCGGCCGAAGACGTAAACTGGATATCGTACGGTTGCAGTTCGGGTGTTGACAGCAACCTCACGAAGAATAGTTGAGAAGGAAATCACTGCTGTGAGGTTTAGGAATGGCTGCTCTCTTACCTTTGGATCTTTGACTAGTTCCTGGAAATAAAGATTTTTTTCAATAAGTGGTCGGAATTGTATTATAATTGTAAGAACAAAAGGGCAATCGTTATATTTTATGATAGTTTTGTGATATGAATAGAGATTTAAATTATTGTATCTAACACAACAGCAATATATTGATTTTTTCTTATTGCTAGTGGGGTGGGACTAAGTCCCTTGTACTGCGGCCACTTCTGGCCTATTGTACCAGCCCCAGATGATAAGTGAGGGTGATTGTGGAGCAATTGGTGGAATGAAAATTGTCAGGGAAAACCGAAGTACTCGGAGAAAACCTGCCCCAGCGCCACTTTGTCCACCACAAATCCCACTTGGCCAAACCCGGGCCGCCGCGGTGGGAAGTCAGCGACTAACCGCTTGAGCTATGGCGCGGCCCTCCAATATATTAACTTAATAAATTTTACAAAATTCAATAATAAAAATAAATGTATACTTTAATTTTTTTTTCCTCCTTGGCACTACAGCCCCAGTGGGCCTAGGCCTACCTCCATGAACTTCTCCGTTCACTTCGGTTTTTCTAGATCTTACACATTTGGTAAGACTCCTTGGGCGGGTGATCAGCTCGTCGCAAGGCCTCTACCTGTACACAAACATCCATGCCCTGAGTGGAATCCGAACCCACGATCCCGGCTTCCGAGCGAGCAAAGACAGTACATGCCTTAGACCGCTCGGCTACCGTTATTTTAACAATATAAATTTTCATTAATAAAATTATTTGTTAGAATAATATCCTGTTTGATTGTAACTTTGAACACTTACGAAAAACATATCGAGGTAGGCAGGAGTTGGTGTGAGGGCCGAGCGGGACAAAAGAGCCACAACTTCTGCCGCGTCGTTGCCCAATATTTTGTCCTTACGTATGAGATCAGCTATAACAGAAAGGGCTGGAAGGGTTCCGGTTTGAGCGACGGAATCGCGGAGGGATTTCCTGCACAAAATATCAACAGTTTAAAAAAATAACGGAGATGACCTGCCTATTGATTCAGCCACCTTACGTGATCTACAAATGTTGTTTGTCGTGGTGAAGCACGCGATATGAAATGAAAATCATAGTATACTAGAGCGATCCTGTCTGTGATTGAATGAAACTTGGAAGTACTCACCATGCTCCCCATTTAATATTGCCGTTGAGATTTGGATTCGTTGGAGAAGATGGCTCTAGAGTTCTTGTTGCTTCGTCTATTTGTTTGCTGTCCATAGTGCGTAGAACACGTGTCATGAGAGTGAACTTGGAAAGTGTATTATCCTCAACCAACCAGCAAGGTTTCTCCAGTTCACTACCAATCTTAGTGGCGATCTTGACAACTGTCCGAACAGGGTCGATTTGTTTGGAAGCACGAAGTTTACTTTCTTGAATTCCCACAACGGATGGGATAAGAGGCATGCAGGGCGCAGAATCAACTTCTAGTTCAGTCTGTTCTTCGTTTTCCCTGCTACCACTACTGCTGCTGCTACTGCTGTAGCTCTTATTGCCCGAAGCCCCTATTTTAGCTTGCATTGATCTGCGGGTTCTTTTCGACTCTTTCCACAACAACTCACCACTATCATCCTGATCCTTCATGTTGGCTTCCTTTCCAGTTAATTGTGACTTCCGTGGATCATTAGATCTCTGTGTTGTGGTGTCCTCTTCACTGCTGCTTCTGCTGCTGTCAGTGTCCGAGGTGTATCCACTATCGCTTTTCCCTTTGAAGTGTGATAAATGTCTGTCATGACTGTTGAAACGATACACAAGATCTCCAACACTACGCTGGCCCCTAAGGGAGGGAATCTTCTGTGTTTTTGTAATTGATTCAATGGTGACATTGACGCGACTTGCTGACATACCCTTCTGGTCGTTGGACACCTCAAGACTCAGAAACACCCTGTTGGTAGTCACGGAGGACTGAATGATGAATTTGTTAAGACTGCCTGAGATGACAACACGGCTCAGTGAAGATCTCTGAAAACCACAAGATGGTTAATGTGGTGCTATTTTTTTTTTATTGCTAGTTGGGTGGGACTAAGTCCCTTGTACTGCGGCCACTTCTGTCCCATTGTACCAGCCCCAGATGATAGGTGAGGGTGATTGTGGAGCAACTGGTGGAATGAAGATTGGCAGGGGACACCGAAGTACTCGGAGAAAACCTACCCCAGCGCCACTTTGTCCACCTCAAATCCCACTTCAGACCCGGGATCGAGCCCGGGCCGCCGCGGTGGAAAGTCAGCGACTAACCGCTTGAGCTATGGCGTGGCCCATTATGTAACGTTAAACAATATGAAGATTAGTGAATAAATTTTAGAAAGATGTGGGTTGAAGCGGTAATGCCCTCGAAGAAGCGAGGGAAGTCAGGACAAGCGGTCTTCACGAATAGTTTTAAGCCCTGCACCTTCCAACTACAAAACAGGAGTGATAACTGTTCGACATAAAGGCCGTTAATTGTGTGACAGAATTATGTTCTAATGAATTAACCGTTTATGTATTGCCGCCTTCATTTCATCTAATATTCTATTTTATTTTATTTTCCAAACAATTATTATTAATTTATGGCGGGTTCATAGAAAATTATACAGAACGAGTGCATGACTGGGCGAATACTTACAGCCACGAGGTTGCCCACGTTCCCACCAGGCTGAATATTCTCAGAATCACTGAATCCAAAATGGTAAACCCTTCGTCGATTGCAATTTGAGAAGTTTTGGGACTTGATAATCTGAATGAGGGATCCCTTGGCGTCCAACGGTGCCAATTCCGGCTGTGCCCTTATTATTGCTTCTGGGAATGAGGAGACGTCGTACAAAACCTCGCACTCTCCAGTCACAGCGCTCTGTTAGGCGAAAATGTGGCCATTGTACTAGTATATTAATTTGAAGTACATTGAAAAACTCCCTGTCCTGTAACGAACATACCGACCGAGCGACTGCCGCTTTTCGGCGAAGTTAGTTACAAGTTTTGCGGATAGAGGTTGTCGCATGGTCAGCGCAACGGATTCCCACGGCCGTTAATTTCGGTTTTCTAGACTGGAGCCGCTATTTCTTTGAAAGCGCTCCTTATTTATCCTCGTGAGGCTGAGTGGACCCCGTTCCAGACCCACTACTTCTCAGAAAAAATCTGGCAGCGCCGGGAATCGAACCCAGATCTCTGGATGTGTAAGCAGGAACTCTGACCCCTACACCACTAAACTTCTCCTACAAGTGGCGCTTGCTCGGTCGGTATAGTTAGCTTGTGGACTAAAATCACGGAATTTGCTTTTTGTTTTGTTTTGGTTCATGAGACTACATTGTTGCCTGTATCTGTATGTGTATGATACAACAATATAATCTATATAACAATAATACACAGTGTATCCCTCCCTATAAATTCAGCATTACTCAACGAATCTTTACGAATCTTGGTTTGTGCATCGTGACATCTGAGACCATCTGCACGGTGTAATTCTTAATTCCCTCTCATCAGTAATAACAGTAAGGCAATCTCTGAAATTGTTGAGGCAAGACCTTGATATTGCTCGAACCCCTGTGCCCATCTTCATGAAACTAGGTACGGATTTCTTGCCACATCGATCCATGTTAACAGCATTCTTTATACATCCCTCCTATCGCTATTGCCCACACAGCAGCCTAACTAATCTTTGAGGCAAAATTTTAATATTGCTTGACTGCCTGAACCAGTATTCATGAAACTTGTGGGGCGTGTCACATCATCTGGGGCCACCTCAACGGTTTGCTCCTTCCAGAAATACCAACACTGCAGCCTCTATTATCCCTCGTCCATCGTCACTTTCCCGCCTTGCTCCGTGTTTACCCTGACGTGGGTCTGACAACAGCTTGGGGTTCTATACAAATCGAATTTATATCAATGTTTGACTTACTTACTTACACATACATAATAAAGTTTTGCTCCGCTTTTCGTTTCAATTAAGCAGTTAGTAGTGGAAGGAAAGTAAGCCATTAATTCTTCTCAGAACTTCTTGTACTTAATGAAACAGCCAATTTTTTTCTGCATTCCCGCTAATTTGGAGGTGTGTCGACTTGCTACTAGTCAGCGCCACTGGCACTCTCGCCCCGGTTTCCAGCTCTAGCCATTGGACGGTCTGTGTTACCTACCTCCATGACGCTGTACAGTGCGCTGTCAGAATTAGGGCCCGGGATGTGGTTCTGGCGATGTGTGATAAGATGCACTGCTTGAGTGTTCAGCTGGAACTGACTCACTATACCTTTCAGCATGTTCGCTTCTGACTCTGTGGTCTGCCTAGAGACGAGAAGTTCTTTTACCTAACACAAAAATATCACAATCAGTTATGTATTTTTGTCACTGCTCTGTTTCACACAAAAATAAAACCCCTTGGTTTTAGTCCGCAAGCGAACTATACCGACCGAGCGACCGCCGCTTGTCAGAGAAGTTGATGTCAAATTTTCCGGATAGAGGGTGTCGCGTGGTCAGTGCAACGAATCCCCACGGTCATTAATTTCGGTTTTCTAGACCGGAGCCGCTATATCCTTTAAATAGCTCCTCAATTATCCTCACGAGGCTGAGTGGACTCCGTTCCAGACCCACTACTTCTCAGGAAAACATCTGGTAGCGCCGGGAATCGAACCCGGACCTCTTGATCTGTAGCCAGGAACGCTGACCTCTAGATCACAGGCGGTCCTCCGTTTCACACATCTTCTCTTAATTCAAATTTTTGATCTCCGACTCCAAGCTTGTACTTCACTCTGGAACCCCCACCCCACCCCAATTTTAAAGTAGCCATATTTTTTCTATGAAAGTGTTCCGATTTCTTACACAAAATCCTTGGCACTACAGAAATGAACAGAAAATCCTTTTCACAAACACAAAAGCAAGCCTGCATTATAACAGAGTCTGTAACAGTTTACTTAAAACCAGGTCAGCGGAGATGGTTTCAGAAAGAGTCTCATATTGGACCGAAATTCGCAATGAAAATTTAGAAATACTCTCCTACGAAGGTTACAGATTAAACACAGTTTTCTGCCCTGTCTATTGAGCAAGGGCTTCAATATTTTCATTCAAGTTGGTAACATGTATTTAGAAAACTCACCAATCCATCAGAGTCCAGTCTGATTTCGAAAGGATTGCTTTTTATAGGCATTGGATTAAATGACAGATGACGATCGTCGATCTCCTCGGCCCATCCTTCAGGCAGTATGGAATGTACTTTTGCATACATTGGCTGCAGGAGCTGCAACATGCCATCCCTGTCCTTAATATCATGTGTTTATCAGACAGGATCAACGTTTACTGTCAAACGTCAGAGTAGCTTTATTTTAAAATACTTTACATATGAGACAATGAGGCATTGACAGAGATGAAGATGAACATATGGTCTTGTATGTTATGACATGGCGTACTCTGGTACAAAAAAGGTAAAGCTATCCCTGTAACAGACCGTGGAGGCCCATAGGGTTGTGAGATGTTGAGATTCGCACATTTTCTAGACAATCGGCTCATAGATGGTGGCAAGGCTGTCAGGCTTACGCGCCGGCCGCCCTTTACTCCCAAGAATATTCTCTCATACTCATTTCTGTTAGAGGCTGAGTCGACCCCAGGGCCATAGTGCGGCTGGAAGTGTTAAATCAGTTGAAAAAAAAAATCCATCTCACTGGGACTCGAACCCGCGACCTTCCGGCTTGTAGCATAGTGCGTCAACCAACTACGCTACCGCGTGCCCCCACTTTGGTACAAGGTTATCAATGTTTCAGAGGAGAATACTGCTTTCGTGTTCTGTTTAGAATATGAAGTTGAAGTAAGCAATGTATTCCTCGGAAAATAAAGTAGATCAAAATATAAATTATACTAGGTACGTCAGTTAACTTGTTATTAAAACTTGTTGTTACCAACCTGGGCCCTCAGGAGTTCCTCTGACTGANGAAGTTGAAGTAAGCAATGTATTCCTCGGAAAATAAAGTAGATCAATATAAGTTATACTAGGTACGTCAGTTAACTTGTTATTAAAACTTGTTTTTACCAACCTGGGCCCTCAGGAGTTCCTCTGACTGTGGTTCAACAGCAAGGCGTGCTTCCATCAGGATTCCTGCGTACTGGTCCGCTACTTGGTGTAGACCCGTCAGCGCACGGCTCTGTATGTTGTACAGGTACCGCATGTTTGTCTCCCATGCTAGACACAATTATCGGTGTTCACTGGGGTAGGAAAATCTCAATGTTCCTTTCGGTTAAGGGCAGAATTCTAGCCGGATCGACGTTCGACAGCCACCAAGAGATATCATTTTTCGTAACCAAATTAATTGCATGGAGATGTGCATCTGAGGTGGAGGGTGGTAAGGAATTGATAACATTCATGAGAGGTTTTATAAGAAAATATTAGGTTTTCCCAGATTTTCAGCAAACAGTGTGGCTGAATTGGAGTTCAGAAGAGGTTGCAGGAAGGAAATGTGCTGTACAGGATTGTGAAGTACTGGTACGTGCGTCACGAGTGAATTTTAGGTAACAGAATTTTGTTGTGAATGTCAGACAAATAATTTAAAAGTGGAGATTTCGGAAAATAAATTGAATAATAAAGTAGAAAAATCAGTATATTCGGCAGAACCAAAAAGTATTAATATATTTTTATTTAATTAATAGCATATTTACAATCTACTCCCGATAATATGGAGTAATAAGTAAATTTGTTCTAAGTGTGTGTCTTGAGTAGAGAAGTCATCCACTGATGATGCTCTGACAGGTCCTGTAGTGAAATGGTGATGGTTTTAATCTTCGTCACCTGCGGGCTGTGGTTGAGGGTGTATAAATGATTAAAAGAATGAGTAATTATATAGAAAAATATAATTTATATTCAAATATGTGAAAATACAGGGCGTTCAACCATTGAGGAAACCTGGGAGCAGCGCACAGCGGACACAACTTTTCTCGCAGTTTGCTGCTGTAACTGCCGATAACAGAAGGACTAATTAGCGCTGATAGACGCGCGCCGTCGGGTGCAGTAACTCGCATTAATACTCAATGTCTGTTAGATGTGTCGATAGGCGGTCGATAATTATACTGAAATAAAGTTCACGATTGAACAGTGTGTGTTTATTGTCGAAATTTTGCGAGGAAAAACTTACAGAAAATATATCCATAAGTTTCGTCGCAAATATCCCGACTCGCCAGTTCTCATTTCATTACATAACGAATTGGTATGGTACCCTATTTAAGAATTTATAAATAACAGTAACAATACTTCTCGAACTGTTTCATTTGGCAGTCTTTCTCTGTGTTTATGTAACGTATACAATTGCGTGGACGGGTATTTTTGAACGCCGGCGTTGTCTGTACTGTACAGCATCAAATGATAGAATAACTGATAAGATATTGTCCAGTTATTTGCCTGGAGTGACTTATAAGAACCAAAAAAACTTATTGTGGCTGGGTTTCCGGATACAAGTTCAAAACGTTACCGCTGCGCTAGCCTGCTGGGCGACACACGTAATTACGACTTCCGTTCAGAGGAACTTCCCTTAAGGCAGTTGATAGATATTCAGCTAGCCAAAAAATTAAAATCTCCGGCTTTCTTAACCTGAAATTTCGTCAATTTTTCACAAAAGCTCATATATTTTGCCAGTTCAGTACAACACCCATGTTCTCTACATAGTGTTGTAATAATGTAAGAGACATTCTGATGTTTCCCTCTAATACTCGTATGTGTATGACTGTGACTCCCAGATGTAACCTCACCTCGGGTTTTCACTCACAATGCTCTCAACTGTCCACTTTTCCTTATGCGTGTTTCATGTTGAGCACACATTATCTGGGTCATTGCTAGTTGCGTTCAGATTATTGGTTATACGACGTAACTGACCATTCTCGTAGTTTAGAATCGTTGGTATGTGTCTTACCTGGAACCGCTGCAATTGTCGCTGCTGTAAGCAAAGAAGAATAACAGTTACTTGACGTCAAAATTCGTGATATTTCTAGCATCATTTTGTGGGCTACAACATTATGTACTCTGAAATAACAGAATTGTCTTCCAACAGCCTATCACAGTCCAGCGGGTGCCTGTAAGTCTTGCCGTCCACTTACCTCTCTACCCCCTTTTTTTTTTAAATACAGGGTGAATCTTATAGAACTGGCCCGATGAATTTGATAATAATTCCGCAGGTGATACATATAACCGCTCACAATTACGACATAATAATCCGTGGGCCGTGCTGAGTCGAATGGTGTGCACATGATCCGGCAAGGTCAAGGACATTGCCGAAACATGTCTGCAGTGCGCAGGCGACAGTCATGGAGTTCACTGTTGAACAGCGAGTGTTTCTAATGCCTACTTGAAAACGGCGGACACTTTCAACACCTCTGATATGTGTAAATTACTTTAATATCTGTATGGTATATTTTATATTACAGCTCATTTCGTCGGGCCGGTTCTATATGAATCACCCTGTATTACACATAATACATTCATGAAGACAAGCAAACCTGAGTAGTGGAAACAAAAGTTGTTTGGTTTAAATACAGGCTACTGAAGTTTTATATGATGCTACGTTTTCGAAGCCACGCAATTTCTCATTGCGTTAGCCATTCGTTAAGAAAAAATAATTATCATATGTTGTGAGGTTGTTGCTGGGGTTATTATGAAGATTACTGTCATATGAGCTTTGACGCCATATGTTTTGCCAGATGTTTACAGACGTTTCGAGCAAGCATGCCCCCTCCATCTTCAGAATAGAATAGATCGTCAATATGCAATAATTCAGCAACACTTCTACACAGAAGTTGCAGAGAAATGATGGAATTAATAACTGCAGTTCTGATTATCAAATTCTAGTTCCTAGGAAACCCGCAGGGCGTCGTGTCACTCACCAATGTCCTCAAGACTAACTTACCAAACAGGAAAGGGAGAACAGCCTTCCACAACATATTTCTGGTGCTGTGGTGGATACTGCTGTGGCAAGTGGTTCTTTTAGGGATCATTTTATAAGCAACTCGGCTATAGTCGAAATGGCATGACCCCATGACGACGCTGTGTCACAAAGGTCAGTTGCTCTCAGTAGAATTCCACGACTGCATAGAGGAGCTGCAGCACTAGGAAATTGTATCAGCAGGAAAGAAAGTAATATGCCATTTCACATTGCTTTGAAGTAGTGGCACGTGTTAATCACAATTATACCTAGAAATCTAGGTGTATTCGTACCCTTGTATGTAGCTATCCTGTAGTGACATTGAAATCGCATGGAATCTTTAGCGATTTGCTATTCCATTTGGTAACCGTGACTATTTTATGATTCTGTCTAAACGTGTGAATTTATGTGTATTGATAGATCGTAAATGTACTTTCAAATTTTATATAAAGAGTTCTTCTTCATGAGTTATCTTCTGTGAAACTTCTTCCGGTTCAATAATCACAAGTCGTCCTGCCGTTCGTTGCTGTAGGCAGGCTGAGACACTAAAGCGTCGTTCGATAAACCACAAAGTAGAGTAAAACTATCCCTGTAACAGGCCGTGGAGGCCCATATGGTTGTGAGACGTTGAGGTTCCCACATTATGTAGACAACCGGTTCATAGATGGCGGTGAGGTTGTCAGCCTTACGGGCCGGCCGCCCTTAATCCCCAAGAACATTCCTGGTACTCATTTCTGTTAGAGGCTGGGTTGACCCCAGGGCTATAGTGCGGCTGGAAGGATTAGGTCAATTGAAAAAAATCCAATGACTTCATCGAGGCTTGAACCCGCGACTTTCCGGCTTTTAGCATAGTGCCTCAACCAACTACGCTACCGCGAACCATAAACATTCAATAATGCAAATTATGACTTCATGTTCGTCAGCTTTTCAGGTGTTCAGGGCCTACACGAGAGAAATTATGCTCACAGGTGCACCTCACATTCCTTCAGCTGCACCTTCCTTTGTCCTCACTGCACAAAACAAAGAATTTAGAGAGATACGTATAAATATTACAGAGTCATGATCGTCATGATAGCCCATTCGGTATAGCGACTATGCTAGGAGCTAGACCGTCGAGGACTGGCGCTGGACCCCCCCCGGCCTCCTACACAGTGGGTATCTGGGGCTGGTTTTTGAGCGGACTTCGTATGAAATGTTGAGTATTGTTTTGTTGGCTGTTTTTCTTATAGCCCGTTCTGCTCCTGTGTGTTAGCGATGTGCTGACGGAGGCGTCGGTCGCTCGGGTGCTACTGATCGTAGTGAAATTGCTACGTTTGATGACCGTCTTTCTCTATAATAGTAAACAACACTTCGTGCGCAATTTTAAATAATAAAAAGAACTCCATGGTTTTAGTCCGCAAGGGAACTATACCAACCGAGCGACCGCCGCTTGTCGGCGAAGTTAGTGCCAACCTAAGCCGATAGAGAGCGTCACGTGGTCAGCGCAACGAGTCCCCACGGCCGTTAATTTCGTTTTTCTACACCGGAGTCAATATTTCCTTGAAATATCTCCTCAATTATCCTCCCGAGACTGAAAATTTGGTAGCGCAGGAATCGAACACGGACCTCTGGATCTGTGGCCAGGACCACAGATGAGGTGAATTTTAAATAATAAGGTTATTTAAATGAAAATACACTTAAATTTTCTAATGAAGCATCATATTCTCGTATTATAGTCAAAAACATTTTTAAAATACCAAGAAAAAATCGAAAGTTAAAGAACTCGTTTTGACACAAAGTTAAACACATAAAACTGTGACGAGGCGTAATTTTTTGTTTACATTTGTAATTAGCATATTAGAATTAATTAAAAATTTAGTTCTATTTTTTTTACCAACCCTTCTTCTATTGTTATTGTGTTGCTGTCGTCAGGCGTCTTGCTTCCTGTAGCGCGGGTTGAGCGGCGAAGAGGGAGGGCGCTGGGCGTGCATTTGAGCACATTTCAGGAGAAATCATGAACACTCGCGTTGCCTCCAAACTTCACTACGCGTGAAACCAAGATCAACCATCATGAGATTAATGTTTTAACGACCGTTACACTACCAGGACGCTCCGGATCTTAATCTTGATTGGTTCTTTCGTATATTCGCATTATATAAGTAGGTAAACGCTGTCTTTGTATTCACTTGGTATCAAGAAGCCGGCCCTCAATACGAATATCAGATGTAGATGTTTACATAATTGGTTTCTGTATGTGTAATACGTATAAATTAATGGATATTTCGTGGGTCCTGAATAACAAGACTTTCAATTGCATTTCTTCAGGCATCTCATGTGCTTCCCAACATTTTATGCAACAACGAAGAAATGGTGGTACAAGATTATTGTTTTAGTGTGCTCTGTTCGATAAAAACGGAGACCGCTAACTTAAGCCGGGCAAGGCAAAATCCTTGCAGCTTGTATGATAATATGACATGGAGCTGCAGTTTTATGCATCTAGTTGCAGTGGATCTGGTTCGCTTGTGACAGTTGATAAAGTTGACTGTATTGAAGATAGACACTCGCCTCCTTGAAGGTCAGCAGTGATTCAGTAATGATTTATTAGATGCTGATTCTGTTTTCGAAGATTAGCAGACCAAGGGGCATACAACGTAAGCAGAATATGAGTGGTGATGTATACCCTGAGTTTGCAGTTAAAGAAGTCATATGCATCATACGGCATTTGCAAGAAAATTGGTCCCTCTCTTCTTTATTTCTTGGTACTTTGCTTAATTATCGTTTGGATTCGTTATGCTGACCACGCGGCACCCTCTATCCGCTAAAGTTGGCACTAACTTCGCCGACAAGCGGCGGTCGCTCGGTAGGTATAGTTCGCTTCCAGACTGAAACCATGGAGTTTGTTGTTTGTGCATAATTATGTTGTACTGCATATAGAGGAATACGCGTAAGAGCTAAATTTTTGGCGAAGAAGATTTTCGGAAATTTAAGATAATTTTATTCCAAAAAAATTTCAATATTTGCAATCTATTTATTATTTGTTCAGGAATATTTTTAAAAAAAGAAAGGTAGCATGTTTGAATATTGTAGTTGACTTAAAAATCCATTCCCTTATCACTCACCTGAGGAGGGGCGAAGAAGGATATAGAGGCGAATTTATTGCAAATGGCTACGATATTTGTCCACCACAAATCCCACTTTACCAGACGCGGGATCGAACCCAGGCCGCCGCGGTGGGAAGCCAGCGACTAACCGCTTGAGCTATGGCGCGGCCTTTATTTACAGAGTAAGTTGAATTTGAGGTTCACACAGCGATAGTTACGAAGAGCTCTAGCTACTGGGATATAACGCCGTGCAGTCCTTTGAAAGTCAACCGAAATTTCGGAGGAATATGTCATCTCCATCTTCATTGGTAAAGAGTAAACTAATCCAGAAACGAGAGTTCTCCTTGCTTGCCTGCTTCATAATGGTTTCTTGCTTGGCTTACGACGTTGTATCCTTTCATGTATCGAATAATTTCGTCTATAATTACGATTTCAAAGTTAGTTATTCATATGAAGGGCGGGAGGGATATTGAGGAGGAAGAAGAAATTTCGGTCACATAGTAGTAGACCTTTTCAACCAATTGGGTTACCGGTGCCACTATCCTTGCGGAATGTCTGTATATGATCATAGGTAGCAGCACAGTGCGCAACGGCACGCCTTGTCCCAAGGTTTGCATGATCAGCATGAGTTGAGTATCTGTCGTCATAAATGTTGGAATGTTGGAAAGCGTGGTCAAGCGTACAAATATTGGTATCTGTGAGAGTGAGTTATATCAGTTTCTTGGATTAAATTTTATGTGGCTATATACAAGAGCAATGTACGTTTTTATATCAGTTGCATACAATCGAGGCTGTTCACATTTACAGTTTTCCATTGGTACGAAGTGTTCATCGCGTATGTAACGAAGTTACAACAGTAGATATTTTACTGTGCCTATAAACAGCATACATCAACAAAGAATTCCTCAAGTTATTATACAAAGCCAGGACAGTCATTCAAACTTTTGAACGATGCTACAGATAATGAGAAATAAGCAGCATATTTTTACAACACGATAACCAGTTTTATGAGGTAAGGGCCGCGCCATAGCTCAAGCGGTTAGTCGCTGATTTCCCACTGCGGCGGCCCGGGGTCTGGTCAAGTGGGATTTGTGGTGGACAAATTGGCGCTGGGGCAGGTTTACTCCAAGTACTTCGGTTTCCCCTGCCAATCTTCATTCCACCAGTTGCTCCACAATCACCCTCACCTATCTGGGGCTGGTCAGTAGGCCAGAAGTGGCCTAAGTACAAGGGACTTAGTCCCAAGCCACTAGCAAAAAAAATTAGGCTGGTATGTGTTAGCTCAATAAGAGTTATTGAAACCCAACTTTAATTATGTGTTGGATTGGTTTATGTTATATGTAGTAACTTTACATGACTATAATGAAGCCACAATGTTGTAAAGTTGCAGAGGCATCTTGAACAAACAGGTGACAGCTTGACTATGAATGAAAGTTTTGTAAGCATTTATACATTGGGTTATTAGAAAATTCTTTTTGTAGAATTACTGAAGTAATTAGCCCTTTTAGCCTGCTTACCTTTTTTTGAGTAAGTGAAAGTAGGCTTATGGGATTTCCCATAGTGTCTGCGTATTCTTCCCCCCCCCCCCCCCCNAAAATCGGCTTATGGGGTTTCCTCTCTGGTTTCCGTCTTCCCCCCCCCCCCCCAGTAACTTTTGAGTGGGTGAACCAGTCTTTATGAAACTTATTTTCATATTATGTCATATATATAAGATGCTGACTGGTCTGTCCATATGGAGCTGGAGAAAAGTATCTGAACTGAAATTTTGGTCAGTAAGGCCTATCCATTCTAGTGGATGGTTTAGTAGGTTCTTTCAGGACCATCAGTCAAATTAACCCATCATTTAGCAGGTAATATGAGAACATTTTCATTCTTTGTGAAATGAAACCTTAATGGCATGTCTGACCATGCATTGACTTCGAAAGACCCAGAAGAATTATGATAGGGGGCATGTAGTAGTGTAGTTTTGGTTGAGGCACTATGCTACAAGCCAGAAGGTTTGTGAGTTTGAGTCCTGATGAGGTGTCTTTTTCTTCCAATTGACCTATTCCTTCTAACTGTGTTATGGCCCTGGGGTCTGCTCAGTCTCTAAGAGAAATGAGTACCAGGAATTAATTAAATAATTTTCCTATGGGTAAAGGACGGCCGGCCGGCATGTAAGACTGACAACCTTACCGCCGTCTGTGAGCTGGTTGTCTAGGCAATATGGGACCTCAGTGTCTGACAACCTTATGGGCCCCCATGGTCTGGGCCAGGGATAGCTTTACCTTTTTTTTTCTGCTCCATCTTAGTCTGGTGTGAAAGTAGCTACATTCAGAATACAAATCTGCAATGGCGCATTAAACATTGGGAATATCTTGACAGGCTGAGTGACATTTGGCTTCTCAAGAAAGACTCGGCTCCTTGGAGTTAATTAGTTAGCAGACAGATGACCCCCCCCCCCCCTTTTGCTATTCTCCAGGCAAGACTTCACTATCAATTTTCAATCAATGTACGTGTATGTGCAGATACTGTAGGGGATTGGCTAATGGGACCATATGTTTTGCCAAGTAGATTCTCAGGAGCAGCATATCACCCCCCNACCCCCCCCCCACCAGAGCTCATGGAAGATGTTTGTCTGTGAGTACGAAACCTCATGTTGTTCTTGCATGATGGGGCTCCATTTCATTTCCTTGTTACACAACACCTAGATTAAGTTTTTTGTGAAAAGTGGGTAGGTGTAGGTGGTCCCAGTCCATGAGCCTCATGCTCACTGGACCTGAATCTGGTGAACTTTTTTCTGGGGGTGTTTGAAATGTCTGCTTCATGTCACTTGAGAGTTGAGTCCATATGTAGTTGAGTGAAAGCAGGGCCTGGAGAATGCTTGCAACACAATTACGGGGAATGCAGCGAATTGTAATGGGGCATTGTGCCAAAGCTCTGAGTGGAAATGGGCAGACAGCATATTGAGCACTGGCTACTTTGATACATTTATATTCATTTAAGGTGTGCTAGACAGGCTGTTGTCCATGAATGCGCCAAGATTGAAAATGCTTGGTTGTGACTTCCAACAGTGGGTGTTCCCCTTCCTCTGGTTTCCTGAACTGTCCCTGGCCTCAGCTACCAACTTCTCACAGCTGATGGTCCTCATTATAGAGCCCTGGCACAGACCCCACAGAAAACATCTCTCTCAATATTATGTGTTCTCTCATTGCCAGGGATGTGTCCCACAGAGCCGTTCCCTAGCAATGGCTATTGTTCTCTCCTATTTACACAGCTGTTACTTGGCAATGGGTCTACATGTCATAGTATGTTTAAACACCACTCACAGTAACTGTTGCTTTTCCTTTCAGGACCTGGGCATGTACTCCTAGGTAGATCAGTTGTCAGAACTTTGAAGTTGTACCTCTATGATTCTTGTGAGACACGTTGATGCATAACCCCCAAACCATCATGTGTGATGAACAGTTTTTAAACCCACATAAGTTTCCACATTCTGCTACAAGAGTGCCAAAAATGATAGTGCAAAGAGTTGAAGAAATATTTCCTGCACTGAAGGAAAGCTTGGTAAGTATCTTGTGCATTTGTTATGGAGAAGAACTGTATCACCTTGTTACCTGGCCAAAGAAATTGAGTTTTTTATGTTGAGCTTGTGTTAGGTTCTTATCCATCCCCTAATTCTGTAAGGATGGTTGTTCATGTTAAACCCTACAGTTTCATATAGGACTGATTGATAATAATACTCATATTTGTTGTACTCTATATACATAATGGGCACCAGGAATCAGATTATAATTTGAGATCTGTGTAACAGCTTGTAAACTACAAATGAGCTTCGTAGTTGTGGCACCAAGTAGAGCAGTTCCTTCCTTTTCAGTTAAGACACACCAAACTCTCTCCAAGGTTTAGGCTCCATGCTGGTGGCAAGAATGCTCTCTGGAAAGTAGCATACAGCGAATCCTTTGGGAGGTGGTGCAACAGGTGGGTGCCGTGTACAGATGAGGGAACTCCAGACTGCGTTTTTCCAGGGGTTGTTTATTGAAGTGGCACCTTAATGTGAGAGGGTCATTTCCTTTGTTTCCTGGGGGAGTGACCATGTAGGTAGACTGCCCAGTGTGCAAGCGGTAACCAGGCTCTTTGGGTCTGTGATTTCCTCGGCTCTCTACCAACATATGTACGCGGGTGTACGTGCGCTTATGTGGACATCCCACTGTCTTATCTTCCAAGCTCAGATCTCCCACACCCAGGGCTTGAGGTGTGGTGGGATGGCATCCCGGTTCTTTTCTAAATGGCTTAAAAGCATCCCATTACTTCTTTGGCAGTAAATGCAATGTACAATACCTTTTTGTTGATGTTATCTGTTTCGTGGTTGTACAGGCTACTCCCCTGTGTCGTCTAACTAAATTTTGCTTTCATGTGGTACTGTTAGATGGAACACAGACTATATACATCACTCAGTATATTTTCATAATTTATGTCTATGAATTAAAAGGGGAAAACCATCCCGGTTCTATTTTCATTCCATCTCAAGCACTGCCCACACCCTGAATGCCGACCAAACCACTCTCCATTTATCAGTGGAACATTTTTTGTGTCGATATGGTAGGTGCAACTGCAGTCTGTTTCATTTCAGTTCTGGAAATGTGTTAACACTAGACAGTTAACAAGAATCACCCATCAAGAGCGTGTTACTGTTGCTGCAGTTTTGGGCAAAATTCACGAACTGTTTGTTAGTCCCATGCACTGTCATGTATACATTATTAAAGACCAGACCAGATGTAGCTATACTGGATTCACACAGCTCATAAGGTATTATCCCAAGCTTGGCAGATTTAAGATGAGTATATTATTTTAAAGAGACAGGCACTTCCCACAGTCACACTCACTTATAGCAGTGTATAAGTTGGATGATAACAATGATGACATAATGTGTAACTTGAATGAAATTTATGTGCAACATTGGTTGTTGGGTAATGGTGATGCACTACGGTAAGTCTGTCATATGAATAATATCACAACCTGACACAAAGATAAAAAATTGTAAGAAATGTGTATCATTGGATATTAAATGCAAGGAGCTTGCTTAAAAGGCTTTGTACCTCAGTATTACTTCAGGAATATTCTTAAAAATTTATTGTTTCAGTAACACAAGGTTCATGCCTATTTCAGCACATGACAGTGTTGCACCTCTCATCTCTTGGAATTTTTAAATGAAAAATAAATTGTCAGAAACCCTTTTGTCTTTAAAATGTGTTATATGAGAATTTTAGAGGCTGGAATGTGGAATAATTCCTTGTACATGCTGTCTCTTATTCTGCAAATACAATGGAAATGTAAGACATGTCATCTGAGAGAATTATTGCTTCATATGTAATTTTGCAGGAGAAGACAACAGTCAAAGTAGAGGATGACGTTGATGTTCAGAGTGAAGAAGATTCCATTGACATGAAAAGTCACAAAGATTATGTTCCAGCAGTATTATCCGAAGAAAAGACCGATCCAGAGGTGAGTCTTATGTTCTTGTGTCTTTGTGGTTCTTGTTAATGTGTGTGTCCGTGTTTTATACACTGGTCGTTTTTAATATGACAGTCAATTTAGAGAATATTAAAAATATTTTAATTTGCATGCACATAGTATTTTCCCTTTGAAACAGTTATAAAAATGCAATCTGTTTAACGCTTCATAATTTACTCGTACCTCTGGAGTGGTCCTCTCAGAACAGGATACAGTAGCATTGTCTCAATTGGATAGTGTTATGTATTTAATGGCGTAGTTTGTTGGGCCATAACCAAAGGTGAAAATACATTTTAATTCTTTCTTCTGTGTCAGTGCTTTGTAACATCACAATTTGGAACTGGGGTGCTTTTATTAATTAAGAGTTCTTCATAGTGGGCTTGATCTTTTATCTTGTTTCTTCAATCCAAGAATGCAGTTGGACGTCCCACAAAACATCTTTACCTTGACATGATTCCACACAGGGTGCAGGTTTCACTTTTTGTAGAATGGTGCAGTGCTTGAGGTAAAGAAAAGATTCACTATGTGACATGGCCAGTGAACATCATTTATCTGTCAAATGCTTTTCTAGTCTGGACAGGACATAAAGACTAGTCTGAAGAGTTGTGAACTGTGATTATCATGACAGGGAGAGCTAAGTTTATTGTTTTCTGGTAGATGTTTCACGTTGTTTCCAGGGACTGTGCTGTCTCTCTCTTTGTGGTAGAAGAGTTTTTAACCTTTAAAGTATGGACTTTTAAATTGTCGGGAACCTGCTGCAGCCGGAATTTAAATGGCCCTAGGTCTTTAAACTTGCAGACTTTCAGGAAAAACTATATTTTCCAGTCTATGCAATATAGAAATACAAACTAAAAACAGCCTGAAAAACAATAAAATTTTCTGCACATAACACAAAAGAACAATTTTTACAAATGAAAATATTCTGTGATTATTTTGTCATGAAATATAAAATATTATCTTTAATACATGATGAAATTTCAAAGGACTTGCATGTACTTTTTTCTTTAAACTTCATACATGTTGATTTTGTAAAAAATAATCACACTGTATACAGTAATCTTTTGTTCAGACTGTACGCGAGTATGAACTGGGTGACTTCACAGTTTATGATAACTCCATTCAGTGCTCACACTCTGATGTGCGTGTGCCACTTTTCGAAGCATTCCTTAACACACAGACCGACATCACACTTTTTACAATAGAAGAGGGTGCTCCTAGTTTTCTTATTTAGCAAACACACACGACAGCGTCTTTTTTCTCCTTTGGATGATTAGTGTTGCAAATGTTTCAGCTCTAGTCGACTCACTTGGGCCTCAGATGAAATTTGCCTCCCCCAAGAAACGCCACTGTTACTCCACGTGTCTGTACTTTGGTCCTAATCTGGAGCATGGAAACAAACTCTTTCTACCCCGAGCAGAGCATCTGTCTCTTATCATCCCTCTTATGTCAGCATTCAGTGCCATGTGCAGAAACTTTGGTTAAGCCAACACCCAGATTGTTCCTGTAGGTACAGATGAGTATGACTGGATGATATCAGATAATATACTGATCACTTCTGAAAGCGAATTGCTGCTCTTCGTCAGTTAGGAATTGTTGTTCGGGTCTTGGACCCCCTGATCTGTACTTCTTTTGTACTGTCTGTCTGTCTCTAAGGATCTAGTAAAACTTAGTCTGATTCATAGCACTCAAGAAGACTTAATTATTTTTGCTTGCCTTCGTCTCAACTCCTCATCCTAGATTTCATCAACAAGAGCTTCACCTGGTAATATCAACTCTAACATCTTCTGGCCAGTAAACATGGTGGTAGCGGTAATTAATTGTATGGTGACAATGGTGGGAGAGGATCGACTGACTGGTTGTAAACCGGAAGGGCCAGAGGGGCTTGAAGACACCGAGGTGAATTCAAGCCTACTTCAAGAAGTCAACACTCTAGAGGAATCCCTGCCGCCAGGTAGTTGGAAGGAACAACTGCTAAATCCAGTGGGAGGAAGCTTCCATCAGCGGCCTTTGCTGAATCCTGAGGGACAGCCTAGGTGACTAGCCAGAAAGCAGCAGTCAACACAAGAGGAGCTTGGAGACACCCTAAGGGGACCTAGTCTTCAACACTCCAAACTTTGACCTTCCGACCACCCTTCCCTCTTCGATTTTCAAAGGCTAGTCCATTCCACTATGGCAGATGAAGAAATTGAATACATATCCGTGGTTCAGGCAGTAAAATTAATTTCTAGAACTTTTGATGGAAATCCTAGACATTCACATCAGCCATCCTCGAATTGTGAATTGTGGAAATCATATTCACAACACGAGTATCCCTCCAGGACTGAAGAAAAATATCCCCGTTCCTCCTGAATGTGGTTTCACCACGTTTCAGGGATTTACATTCCTCTTTCAGATCTGGAGGAAGGCCTCTGTTCACCCTAATTGTTCCACAAACACGTACTTTTCTCGAAAGTAGGTGTTCTGCAGTTGCCACACTGTTATAGTAAATGTCTTGATAGACATGGTAATTTTGATCAAGATAGGGTTCCAAAACGGAAAGAATAGTTTCTTGTAATATCTTTCCTTCACCAGAATAAAATTCTAAATTTCCAATATAGCCTGAAGTGCTTTCAGTAACTACACGAACAAGTAGGCCATACTTTGTAAGTTTCCCAGGATTATATGTTTGCATATTGCACTACTCACTGACAGCATGCTACGTACAGCTTGAAGAAATAAAGGCATTAATTTTCCTTTGCAGGGGCATACAGTTACAGCGAGGTCACATAACTGATTAGTCAGCAAACATTCCAGAGGCTTATCATGCAGGCGCAGGCAGCTACGTGCAACTTGGGTGGTGTCACAGTGATGTATAGTGTGTTGCAACTCATTGTGTTCTAAAAACGTATTAATACGTGACCGGTCCACCACGTTTAAAAGCGAAAAACGTATTAATGCGTGCGTGGTCTGCAAAGTGTTAATTACAGTACGCATAAGATTAATAAACTAGAGGAGGAAATTGGGAATGTAAATTTAATTAATGAACATTTCCGTTTAATACAAAGAGGGATTGACGAAAGCCAACATTCATTTGAGATATTAATTGATGCTTTTGTTCATGCTGAGCAGGAAACTCTACAACCACAATTGATAATCACAAGGAAGATTAAAGACTTCTTAGGAAGCCCAAAACTGCCAAGTGGGTTGGACTATCCTAACTTTCATTTCCCTGAACTTCAAAAAATAATAATAACTCCTAACACATATTCCTACAAACAATATTTAGTTTACATCTTAGAAATTCCCCTATTTTCACCAACAGTACCAGTTATATAAATTATTACATTTCCCAGTGATTGTAAAACAAAAAGAATGTTCTTAAGGTTACATCAATTTTAATAAAGAATTTATGTTCAGTGACACTCTTAAGATTACACTATGGAAAGATGTCATCTAATTAATTAACTGGATGTTTTCAACCCAACGAATTTACGATTCTGTATTTCAGAATCCTGTTGCAATTGTTTGACTTAATGCCCATTATTTATCATCCGTCACTATTGCAACACTTTTATTCACTACAGAATTTTAATTTACACTTTGACACTACATGTTTCAGCCCCAACCGGACATCTGTTACAAATATTTTATTGAATTATGTTACAACTGCTACACTGTCTTAGTCCGTGTTAAAATCACACGCTGTAGTCCTCTTTTCAAGGTAAAACTAGATAAAATCCTTTAAAGTTTCTATTATACCCCAGTTATTTTGATGCATATTATTTCACCTCGCACGGGGTGACGTCTGTTGGTCATAAATGTATGTCTGTCCAGGGTGTTTTGTTTCGGCAGCGTGCCCCTCACGTTCGTAGCCTACTTTTCAGTTATGTCTGCGATCTGTAATTTATAAGATCCCTATATTAATGTTTTTTCTATTTGTTATTATTATTATTATTATTATTATTATTATTATGTTACGTTTGTTTACTTTGTACTCACATGCCCCTGGTTTGCGTGTTTCCTCCACAGCGTGTGGTGTCTTTACTAGTGCGGATGTGGTGTGTTTGTTCCTGTATTTATATTCCCTGGTTGTGAGGAGTAGGGAGATGGGGGAGGGTATAGTGTTAAGTTGTGTAATTTTGTATAGTATTTAGAATATAGAGTTGTTTGTGTCGATGTTGGTGTCATTCATATGTAAATTCTTTTTTACTACTTTTGTAAATATGGTATTTCTCAAGTGTATTTAGATATTTTCCTTTTCTTCCTGTTATGATTCCCATGGTGTCTGCTATTGTGCCATATGCGTGTCCAATGTTCGGTATATGACTCAAATATCCTGAGTTACTGTTGTTACTTTTTGTGTCGTGAATGTGTTTTATATCTGATCTTGAATGTTCTTCCTGTTTGTCCGACATATTTCAGTGGGTAATCTAAACATTTCATTTGATAAATTCCACTTCTATTACATTTATCAATTTGTGGCTGTGGCTTTAGTATATTTTGTATTGTGTTCCGCGTACGGAAGGCCACTTTTATTTCCATATCTCGAAAATGTTTTGTGATTTAACTGACTTCCTTGCCGCTATACGTGAAGGCAACCCACTTTGTTCTTTGTTGCTGTGAGTCTGCATGTGCGTTTTGTTTTAGTTTGTTCCATTGCTCTGACTTCTTGCCGCTATACGTGAAGGCAACGCACTTTGTTCTTGTTTCTGCGAGTTTTGTTTTTGTTCCATTGTTCTGACTTCCTTTCCGCTATACGTGAAGGCAACACTCTTTGTTCTTGTTTCTGCGAGTTTTGTTTTAGTTTGTTCCATTGTTCTGACTTCCTTGCCGCTATACGTGAAGGCAACACTCTTTGTTCTTGTTTCTGCGACTTTTGTTTTAATTTGTTCCATTGCTCTCGCTTCCTTGCTGCTATACGTGAAGGCAACGCACTTTGTTCTTGTTTCTGCGAGTTTTGTTTCAGTTTCTTCCATTGCTCTGACTTCCTTGCCTCTATACGTGAAGGCAAC